GCTACTTTCTCTCACAGCATATGTTTGACTTTGCTGACAAATATAAGCAATTAAAAATATGTACTATTTTATTTCTTTAAAAGCATTCATTAAAAGATATTGGAAATTTTAGAATCAGGACACAAAATTGCACTGATTAAAATGTTCTGAAAGAGAAGTCAGATCTTTAATTAAGAAAAGTACATAGTTGATACACTGTTGCATAACAGTTTCCTCGAGATTGAAACACTAGATCCTGCAGTGCAGATCCTTAACCAGGAAGCTAAACAGCTCAAAACAGCCTCCGGGTTCACTGAAACTGACAAGATTTGCTCTGCCCCACCTCCTCAGAGAAAACAGTAAGAGCTGCACAGAAGACTCTCAGAAAAGCAAAACTGCAAGGACTCTGAGGTGAGACCCACCGCCTGGAAGAAGCAGAAGCCAGCAAAGCTGCCTGCAAGATGGTTAGAACAACTGAGCCACCTGGAAAGCCAACCTGTTGAGCTGTCTGCAGGCTGTGCAGTGTGTGCCAGGTTCCAGCTTTGTGAGTTGTTACCCATGCGTCAGGCTTTGGTGAGCTGCCCTTGAGTTATTTTTGCATCTGTAAATAACCTTTTCGACCATATTTCTGTAAGTAACACTAATAAAATTCATTGGTTTTCTGTACTTTGGTCTGTCATGGGTTCCCCATTTGGTATGAATAGAAGTCTGTGTTGCATCTCCTCAGAAAAAAAAAATTTTGTCACACAACATATGCAGGTTGAAATATATTATATGACTATGTAGAAAAGAATGAAGCTATATATTTTAATTACAGTCCTCCCCTCAAGAACAGCGTACCTGAATACAAACGCTCTGTTCAGAAGTAAAAATGCTAAGTGAAATAGATCCTTTAACTGGACTTGAACACTCATTAATAATTAATTGTTACAGACTTAGACTTTAAAAAGTAGTGGAAGCAACTTTTTGCCTCCTACATGTTGCAGTAAGTGAGATTTGAATACAAGTGAAATCTAATAAGTTATACTCCACAGAAAAGGACATTCTGCACTTTTGAAGTCTCCTTGGAATTATCTTCTGATTTCCACAAAGGCAACCACTGACGCAGGAAATGATAGGACAGATAATGTTATTGAGAACTGAACTATTTCTGACTCTTCTCTGTTCACCAATCCCCAGTGGACAGGATTCTCTCAAAGTAGCTGAGAAGAAAGTCTATATTTGGAGTTTAGAGTATGTCACATTGTGGTCTATAAGCCAAGTCAAGAACTCTAGCCTTGCAAAAAAAACATTAAATACTCACCTTTGGGTCTTGAAAAATATGAATTGTGACTTATTTTATTATTCTCAGCAATTTATCCGTATACTTTGCAGGATAATATTACAGATGGATACAGTACATCCAAAGTTAGGAGTTATGGTGCTGAACACACCACAAAGGGCAAAGGAAAGTTAACTATATAACATTTTCAGCATTCCTGTTTCTTTTAAAAAGACATTCTAATTTTCATTTTAAATTCTTTATATGTGTCTGGACTTAAAGACAGTTGTAAGACACCCACTGTGGGTCCTAAGAAATGGGCTTGCAACCCTGGAAAGACTAATATGTACTTATAAATGCTGAGCCCTCTACCTCCTCAATATTCTTGTTTCTATAAAAAAGTTGAAGTATATCTGTATATCTTCACACATGATATATATATATGTATATATATATATGATTTGAAACAAAAAGTACAACTTCCTTTGAATATCCTATGAAATTTGCTCATTAACTACTAAGATATGAATTTATTTTTCAATATTATTTCCTTATCTAAATAGCTACTATTTTTAATATCAACTAAAAATATCCTCAAACCATTTATAAAACAAATGAACACAAAATAAAAATAACAGAAATGAACAGGGGATCAATATTTAATCATTAAGTAATCCTTTTCCATCTATCAAAGTTTCCAAATGGAAATCTTCAAGTTCTTCAAGTTCATCTTCTCAGTAATAAAATATGAAGAAATCATGTCTAGCAGAAAGTGTGATGTAGCTTTAGAGCTTAGGATTCAGAGAAAATATCACTGTCTGCTCCACTTATGACTCAAACTCACCCATAGATACACCTTTTCACCACTAAAACAGTTATGTTAATATTTGCATTCATATATTCCTACTGTGATGAAGTTGTGGAAAGTCGTGTGGGAGAAAATTATTGAAAATATTTATTGCTATTGTGGAGAAAAAAAGAAAAAGATATTGAACCTAATTTTAAATAGTATGCTTGAACATATCAACACAAAAATTAACCAAGTAGTATAATAAGCATTTGCTTACACAGAAATACTTGCTCATTTTGGTAAGACTTGCTAGTATTTTCAAGCAGAAAATAGACTCACTAAAATCACAATAAAAATGTCCAGACAGAAAAACATGCAACAAGACAATGCCTTCTTATCAAGGGAAAACTCAGTGAAAGACAACCTATGCTTTTCCTCTTGTCACCCTGCCAGTAAAGGTTTCTGTGCATGCCATTTAAATTAACTTATTAGGACAAATTCTGCACATCCACAGATGCAGTTTTCAACCCAAACCAACATATCAACCTATCACTGATGACACACTGCAATTTCTCATCACCAAAAACAAGACATAACACCTGACACTACCTGACCAGTGTCAACCATTTTGACCAAGCACAAGACATGTGATAGACAAGAAGCAATATACCATTATGCCATGAGATTTTCTGTATATACAGACTTTTAAACTCTGTACACATTCCTTTGACCATAATAAATTCACACTAATGTTCTAATTTAGAAGGATGGTATACACAAGCATATTATATGTACTTGCTTCTATTTACTCTATTTGTTTCTGGCAAAATAACACACACAATACACATTTTCCCCCATATATCTACCTTCTCTACATTCTAGACTTGCTGATGAATAACTAAATTACTCTCTCCTGCCTCCAGTTCTACCTAAGACAAACTTCACAGCATTTGAGAAATAGCAGAAAGAAACTGTCCTGTTGCTGATTATATCTGAGTCACCTCTGATAAACTAAGGTGTAACTTGTTTTATGAAAAAGATGCTTTCATGAATTTCTAAGTCAACTCTTTCTGATTTTTATGCATTACTGTATTGTGAAATTAGACTTGTCAATATATTTTGTCCTTATTTTACAATGAAATAAATTACAAGCTACATTTCTGCTGACCATTTTAAATCATATTTTAACCATATGGCAAAATCCTTAATAGATCAAGGATAAGGTCCAGTTAATTTACGTACTACCCATATAATATTTTCCCAGGCAAGTAGTTACTATAAGCCAAATATTGTTTATCCAGTAATCTCCAGTGAAGGCAGGATTTTAATCCTATGGCCTTATCATGAGTTACTTTTGGTTGTCATAACTTAGGTTGGGATGGAATGTGTTGTTCCACATTATGGGTATTGCTAAATGTCACCTGTGCACAAAACATTCTCAAAGTAAATAATTACCCAGCACAAAATGATGGCAGTGTTTAGGGTCATAAACCCTATCCTAAATGGGTAACACAATAATTACCATTAAAAAAATCAGATTACTAGGCAATAGGATTCAGGAAAATGATCACCTAGTTATAGAGGAGTATCTACTATTGATTCAGGTACTGTCTTCTAAAGAGGCTTTCTCAGTCTTCATAAGGAACTATGAATTTCTGGTGAAAAGAGGGTTCAGCAGTTAAGAGCACTGGCTGCTCTTCCAAAAACCTGGAGTGTATTCACAGCACACACATGTTGGCTCATAACCATTTCTAACACCAATTCCAGGAAGTCTGATGCTACTTCTAACTCCCACAAGCATGGTACACATGTGGTGCACAGACATACGTGCAGGGGAAACACCCATATTCATAAGATAACAATAAAATATTTTTAAAGAATGATGTACAAATATCATTTGCTCCTTAAATGAGGAGGTTAAGGCTTTAAATTAATTATTGTATTGTCATCCAGCTTCCAACGGTGGATCCAGGATTTCAATAACAGCACATGAAACTTAAGATTAAATCCTCTTGTTCACCCCCAAAGTGTCTTTGTGATGACCCAAAAGAGACTTTATACTTTAATTGATTGTGAATCTTGCTACATACCTCATGTTGGCTTTGAACTCATAACTCTAGGAGGGCTAGGATTATAGAAGTGACCCACCATAAATAACTAGATGCTTTCTAAAAGAAATACTTCAAAGAAGAGGAAAGCATATTTCCTAAGATCTACAGAAACACTCAGTGATTAGTATCCACTTGAAATTTTTATTTCAGAAAATCAACAAAAGTTCAAGCACATAGCAGATGTCATTAAATCATTATTTATTCATTTATTGAGATTCTCAATCTCATTTTGTCAAATGTACTCAAAATGTCTAAAAAAATGAAAAATTCAACTATGTGAAAACATACCAGTAACAAGAAAATGAGAATAGAAGGCACATGCTTTGGGTTACAATCGAAAGAATACAGGCAAATAGTGGACGGGGAAGCTCCTCAATCAACCCTGGACACCATACACATTCACAAAAACCCATTCTGAGAAAGTTACAACTTATCAACTAAAAGACATACTAGTTTTCTCCAACTGTCATAACAAAATAGCACAGACTGCTGTTGTAGAATGTTATTTCAAGGTGTGCTACTTTTGTTTATATTGCATTTGTTTAACTCTGTGAAGCTAAGTTACTGTGCCTGTTTAAAACACCTGATGGTCTAATATAAGTGCTGAACAGCCAATAGCAAGGCAGGAGAAAGAATAGGCAGGGCTGGCAGTCAGAGAGGAATCTGGGAGGAGAAAGAAGCAGCAGCCAACGAAGGTGGAGGATTCCAGGGGCCAGCCTGGGCTACCAAATGAGTTCCAGGGAAGGCTCCAAAGCTACACAGAGAAACCCTATCTCACAAAAAAAAGCTAAGTAAAAATATCTGTCATAGTGCAAGCTTTGGCATTCTATAACTCTAGGAAGGTTCAATGCAGTTCCTGGTCAGACAAACCTCTGACTGGCCTCGAGTGTCACACTTGGTTTTCATGACCTGAGAAGCAGGCAAAGCCAGCTGAGAGCCATGTCAGGAGGATCCAGGTGTAAGTTAGCAGTTTAAAGGTTTGCTCATATAGTCAAAAAAGGCTGAAAATATGCAATAAGAGGTCCAGACTGAAAAACCTTTGAACATGTTACAATGTGTTTAATAATGTGCATAGGCTTAAGAAAAGAAAAAGAGTATAGTCATAGAAAGAAATTAATAGTTTAAAAATAATAAGTCTTTAAAGAGAGAAGTAAAGTAATATAAAAAAGAAAAAGCCACGTAAGATGGGAAATACACAGGGAGTCTGAATCTTGTATGTTATTGTGATAATTTTGATTTTTTTTTTGGATTGTTGAAAAGCAAAGGACAGCTGCAAGGGGACCTGGCATTGAAAGATGGACTGTTGAAATAAATCAGCCTACATACTTTAGGAATGCCTTAACTTTAAAAAAAGTAAAAAAAAAATATTTTTGTCAAATGGAAATCAAAAATGCTTTGGAGTTTTGTTCCCACAGTAGATGTCAGGCTGTGGATTCCTTCATAGTTAATGTGGAGAAAAGACCACCTGAAGCTTGATAGGTGATATCTATCAGCAAAGGTTACTGCTGGTATTCCCAGCACTTGGTCATTATCAAAAAAATATTCTCTCTGGGACCCTAAAGATACTTTGTCCATAGATAGCAAGAAGCAGTTTGGAGAACACAACATCCACATTTCCAAAAGAGGTGTGGGAGGCTTTTGGTTATTTGGTGGGTTATGGATGTTTATTATCATTTAGGGGAATATAGTATATTGATACAAATTTAAAGATATTTTTGTTACACTGTATATATGTTTCTATTCTTGTTTAAAGGATTTTTATATACTGATAAAAATTTAAGGTTATTTTTGTTACAACATATTGTATATATGTTTCTATTCTTGTTTAAGGTGTTGTATCTATGCAGTTTATTCAAATATGTAAGATAAAATTCTAGTTTTTGAGAGCTGTTATTACAAACTATGTAGGATAATCAGGAAACATAGGCTAGTGGTTAGTCATTTATAACAATCAAGTTTGTAGATATGTTAGGTATGTTTCCCATATCATATAGAAATATATTTTAAATAGATAGATAGTCTATAAAACTTTCAAAGACCTACAGAATTTGGCATTTAAAATGTTTTGTTAAAATAAAGTTTTTTCATAACAATAAGACACATCTGCTCCTGACAGCACCAATTTACTTCAGAGAAGATGATGAGCATTGAAGAAACTCCTCATGGAGTGTGTTTTCATTGTGGCAAAGTTAGCCACTAGACAAAGAAACTGTTCTTGCCTTTGACTGCTGACAATGTTCTGTGCAGACTGGACATGCAGGACACACAGGAAAAAGAACTGTTGACCTTTGCCAAAACAAGACAGGACAGTCCTTCAAATTTCCTGCTTCACTGAAAAGTCTGCCAGATACTCTAGGCCTGTAGGCTGAAAATGAATGCCCCAACACTGCAGAGAAAATCTGGGTGACTATCCAGGTAGCCAAATGTCTCTGTTGTTAGGTAATATTGCATTCTTCTGGTCTTTGATGGAGTTGAAAACTAGATAGTTATAGTTGCAGTTTTTCTTAGTTATGATAGAAAACAAATTATATATAAAACTTTGGAGTCATTAAGATGAATAGATATTGCAGTACTTTCTCTGATTTTGCTAAATGTAAATGGATTGAATATTGGAAAATAATTCTTGCTTGATAACTGTTTTTGTTGTATGTAGTTTTACTAAGTTAAATTTGAAACCTTTTATTTTTATTTAGACAAAAAGGGGTAAATGTTATAGAACATTATTTTAAGGTGGGCTATTTTTGTTTATGTTGCATTTGTTTAACTCTGTGAAGCTGCGTTACTGTGTCTGTCTAAAACATCTAATGGTCTAATAAAGAGCTGAACAGCCAATAGTGAAGCAGGAGAAAGGATAGGTGGGGCTGGCAGGCCGAGAGAATATATAGAAGGAGAAATATGAGAGGAGAAAGAAGAAGCAAGCAGAGAAGGTGGAGGACTTCAGAGGCCATCCACCCAGCTACACAGTCAGGCATGTAGTAAGAAGGAAAGAAAAGGTATACAGGAATGGAGAAAGATTAAAAATCCTGATGCCAAGGATAAAAGGGATAATTTAAAATTAAGAAAAGCTGGCTAGAAACAAGCCAAGCTAAGGCTGGGCAATTACACTTAAGAATAACCCTCTGTGTGTGATTTATTTGGGATCTGGGTGGCTGGTACCCCACAAAAAAAGAGCAAAATCAAGCAATAACAGACTGTGTAGCTTAAAAAATGGAAAATTATTCCTCATAGATTTAGAGGCCATAAATCTAACATCACAGACTCATTAAATGTGATTTCTAAGACATTGGCACTAAAACATCAATATCTGAGTTTGGATGAAAACATAATTTTATCCAAAATATGCACATTAATGGATTCTAAAAAGGGGCATACTTTACCTAGAATATTTTCTTGGGGGACTAAACTCTGCATGACAGCTGTAGAATGAATGACAATTTGAGATCCCATAATGCTACTGCAGGGAACAAGCCTAAAGGCAACTGCATGTAAGACCTAACATGAAATCTACTTGCATCAAACTTAGAGGGCCTTGTAGAACATCAATTACAATCCTATCGTGTTATCTGTTATTAGACAGGAAAACAAGACCATTAAACACAGAAATTCATCTTCAGTGGTGCAATGTTCTAACAACAAGTGCGCAATGAATCCTCAAATCAATCAGAAGACAGAGCAAGTGCTCTTTGCTTTCAAGATTCTTTTATTTTTTTCTAGTTTCTACTTTTTTGGTTGTTATTGCCTGTTATTTTTTGTTGGATTTTTGTTTAGTTTTCAATTTTTCTTAAACTCACAGGAACAACAAGATGCCAATGCTGACTCAAAGGCACATTTTCCCCCATAGAATTGAAAGACAGCTTTTCTGTGCCCAACAGGAGAGCAGCATTGTAGCTTCAGAACTTAAGAATCTCTCTCTTTTCCAGAAGGAACAGCATTTGACTCCATCGCTGTTGGAACAACCAGCAGGTCAGCAAAAACAGATGCAAAAATAAGCATTGGGCAGCACAGAGGGGAAGAATGAATGAAAGGATGACTGACAGGAGTTTCACAAATGATTTCTTAGAAAGCTCAGGTAACTGGGACATAAGATGGACCAGGAAAGCAACAGAAACACTTTGTAGATTCAGTGAATTGCAAATAGCATAATTGTTCTGTAAATTTCCATTTCATTATTCTTTATGCCATACCATGGCTGTTATGTTCTTCCGTCTCATCTGGGCACAACTAGAACTCCCTACAATTAGAAAGCAGAAGACTCTAGTTTGATGCCCATCTGTTTAACACTGAATAATATCATCATGACTTCATTCTCCTTCCATAAATGTTGTTCCAGTTAAAAAGCATGTAAGGCCAAAGAGATGATGACACCCATCAGTGCAAACCTGACAATCTAAGTTCTATGCCTGGACCCAAAATAAAGGAAGAAGTGGAGAATTGACTCCACAAACTTGTGCTTTTATGTCCAAAAGTATGCCATGACACACATGCTCATACCCTGAAACATCACACACACATGCGCACATACAAACATACTATGATCATAAAAATCACATTATTTCTTAGTTATTCTATTACTTACAACCACAATGGGATCTCACTCTACTGACCCCTGGACTATCACTATACATGCTGAGTATAGTCAGACCCACACTTAATTACTCTGAGAATATGGCACTTAATATTCTAGAATGTCCTCTTTTCCCTTGCATGGACTGTAACACACCTCATTTTTGCAAGGGCCAGGTACAATCCAGCATATTCTCAAGTTATAATATCCAAGCATGTAAAACAAGGGATAGACCTAACTGACCATGTACACACTAGATGTTTTACTGTTTATCCTCTAGCTACTTCAGATTAAACATGTGTCTTTTGTAATTATCCTGCAATAAATACATGAATAAATATATAAATAAGCTACACTTCCCCCTAGTTTCCATTTTGAGTTGTTAGACATAAGTCAGATTCATTGTTCGCTCTTCTTCCCCGTCACACTGCCTCCATACAATCACTCAGAAGTCCTATGAATTCAGTGCCTGCATAACCCTAGTTCTGTTCCTCATCTCCCTTCCTTGTACCCTATTGTAGGTATATCCCATGGAGCTCACCGCATCTAGGTCCTAATTTCCTTCAGTAGTATCTGTCTTTTCTCCTTATGTAAAACTATACCTCTATCGCTTGAAAGATGGCCAACATCCATCCTGACCTAGCCCATGGCATTGTGGTCCCCTCAACTATAGCCATGTTCTCAGGACAGCAGCAGAAAGTTCTTCGTGGTAGATAGTAAATATCAGAAGCTTCCTCACAGAGAAAGCTCCTCTTTTCTTTGAGTACATTTCTGTACAATTTCAAAGCCAATTCAGATGCTGATTATTTGCTAGCACTCTCTATGAAGTCTCATTCCTCACAAGCCTGGTACATTTTACACACTTTGACATTGTGTCATCAGGTAGCCCTCAAACAAGATCCTTTCTGGTAATCTTAGTTATGTGAGTTTAGGTAATTATTTTTGTATCAAGGTGTTCCGTGTGAGTTTATATGCATAGTTTGTGTGTGTACATGCAGTTGTTCCATTCTCTCCACTGTGGGTTCCGTGGACCAAAATCAGAAGGTCATGTTTGTATAGCAACTGCTTTTACCTGCTTTTACCTGCTTTCTGACCCTTAGTCATGCATGTTTACATGTAAATATTAACAAGAACTACTAGTATAATTACCCTAGAAAATGTTTAATTAATATTGTTTAAAAGGCCCACAAACAAGTATTGACTCAACACTATATAAATATAAGTATTATCATATTTGTGAGAAATATTAAATAATATAATCCAATATTTTTCATAGATGTAAGAATAATATATATGTTTTACTTAAAAACCTGAGCATTAATATCTGAGTCTTAAAGTCCTCAAGCCTTCGGGTTGGAGAGATGGCTCGGTGATCGAAAGCACTGGCTATATTCTTCAAGAGGACCCAGGATCAGTTCTTGGCACCCATGTGGTGGCTCACAAATATTTGTAAATCCAGTAACAGGAAATTGGAAATTGTCTACTGGCCTTCATGAGCAGCAGGCAGTCACATGATGCACATGCATACATGCAGGCAAAAGCTTATATAAAAAAATAAGAAGCAAACCTTAATCTTACGATTTTATGTTCAAGTAAGTAGTATATTAATAACACTATTAACAGTAACATTATTAACACAATAACGTAGTTACTATTATACACGTGACATATATCTTATGAAATAACCTCCACAAATAACAGAGTGCAATAAAACATAAAAGTATTAAATAGTATGGACAATTGATATTTAGCAAAACATTATCCACTAAATCAGTGAATAAGTAGTTGTAACTAATTCAGTGAAAGAGGAAAAAAATCAATATTTTGCTATTTCTGAGGCCTTTGTAACTGTAAAGACTTTAGATTCTTTATTCACATACTACCATCAATTGTTAATTTGGTTCAGTATTATTTAAAAATTAAAATACAAGATATTAAAATAAATTTGATTAAACAAAAAATGCTTACTTTGATAACAGAGGAACAACAACAAATAAATAAAATTTTTGTACCTGGAATGTGACTCAGTGTGTTGGGTGCTTTCTATGCAAGCCTGGGAACATGAATTTCAAACTCAGTGTCCCAAGTAAAATGCCTGATGTGGTTGTATGCAAACCTGCAACAACGTTTCAGGGACAGAGACAGTGAGATCACTGAGGCTTGCTGGCTGCTATCTTGCTCCACGTTCAATGAGAGACACCAGTTAAAAGGAATAAGGTAAAAAGTGATAGAGCAGGACAGCCAACATCATCTTCTGACCTCCGTTGCATCTCTATGGGTGCATGTATCTAAACACAGAAAGATAGATAGATAGATAGATAGATAGATAGATAGATAGATAGATAGATGATAGATAGATAGATAGATAGATAGATAGATAGATAGATAGACAGACATAGATGATAGATAGATAGATAGATAGATAGATAGATAGATAGATAGATAGATAGATAGATAGATAGATACAGATGGACGGACAGAAGGACAGACAGACAGATAGATAGATATAGATATAACTATATACCACATATGCCCATGTAACATAGAGAGTGTGGTGGTATTGTGTTCCCCAAAATATTGTGCACCCTAATAAACATACCTGGGGTCAGAGACAGAACAGCCACAATATTAAACATAAAGGATAGGCAGTGGTAGCACACGCCTTTAATCCTAGCATTACAGAGGCAGAAATCCCTCTGTTCAAGGATACAGCCAAGCATGGTGACTCACACCTTTAATCCCAGAAAGTGAGCCTTTAATCCCAGGGAGTGAGGCAGAAAGCAGAAAGGTATATAAGACATGAGGAACAGAAACTAGAAGCATTTGGCTGGTTAAGCAATTGGCCTGGTTAAGCATTTGGCTGGTTAAGCATTTGTCTGGTTAAGCTTTTAGGTTTTGAGCAGCACAGTTCAGCTGAGACCCATTCTGGATGAGGACTCAGAGGCCTCCAGTCTGAGGAAACAGGACCAGCTGAGGAACTGGCGAGGTGAGGTAGCTGTGACTTGTTCTGGTTCTCTGACCTTTCAGCATTCACCCCAATAACTGGCTCGGGTTTGATTTTATTAAAAAGAACTTTTTAAGATTGCTGCTACATCTGGTGCCCAACGTTTGTGGTACAAATTCATGAAAAAGCTGTTTACCTGTGGCCTTGCGGGCCCCAGCCTCAGACCCGAGCTACACTCGGCCGGTTGTGGTGGCACATTGGTTGGATTTACTGAAGGAGGCAGAGGCAGGAGGATCCTAAGTTTGAGGCCAACCTAGGAGAACCTTCGGCCAGGGCCGAACCACAAACAGTGGTGGGATTATGGAGGCAGCAGCTACTGCTCCGAGTTGCTGGCTTCTTCTCATCCTGTTGGTGACTGCAGTGATGTTGCTACCTGGGAAGAAAGGTTTACTGCTGCTTGTTCAACGAAGAATTGACAGGACCATCGTGTTACAAGCAAGCATCGACAAAGGTCAGTTTGGAGAAGTTTGGTCAGACAAATGGTGGGGAGAAATTGCTGTGAAGATTTTCTCTTCTAGGGAAGAATGTTCATGGTTCCGAGAGACAGACATTTATCAGACTGTGATTACTCCAAACCACAGAGGAGGCACAAAAAAAAAAAAAAAGTCTGCAAGTCTGCAGTGAACCATGACCACACCTAACAGTGACTTTGAAATCTTCAAAAAGACGACAGGACTCGACAATGATGATTCCACAAGGACTATGGTAAAGCCATTAAGCTGATTAATACCACCAAATGATCAACTTTGAACTACAAACTGCTTAGGACAATTTTGACATGGCTAGCTGAGATGATCCAGCCTGACAGACTACTTGAACAAGGACTTAAAACAAGCCCTACACTTTCTCATTATGCAGCGGCTGGACAAATGATATAGGACTTGACAATTAACCCAAAAATTTTCTTTTCAGGATCCCCTAAAGATGGTAGTAATTTTAAGAAAATGATGCCTACATTCCCAAAAGGTGGGATGGGAAGTTTTTGGTCATTTAATGAGTTATGGATATTGTCATTGTTTATGATGGTTGGTTACAAGTTGTTAATTGTTAATGGTCAGAAAAAAAGCTGAACATGGAGATTAGATTCAGAGGTTTTGTTTAAAAAAGAAAGAAAAAAGAGAAAAGAATATAGATATGAGATAGATCACTGAATCTATTCTGAGAAAAAAGATAAAGAATAATAGGATAAATGGGTAGATCACTGAATCTACACAAAAGAAAAAAGAGGAAGATATAAAAATGACAGAAGGTAGATTACTGAATCTATTATGAAAAGAAAAAAAATACTTTTAAAAAGTAATTACTTGTTTTAAATAAGATAAGTAATGAAATTTTTTGTCTGAATTTGTCAAATGTTACTGGGCTGGACATTGTTAATATATATATATATAATGG